ACCCCGAATACTGAACCCACCCCGAGTACTGAAACTACCCCGAGTACTAAACCCACCCCGAGTACTGAAACTACCCCGAGTACTGAATCCACCCCGAGTACTAAACCCACCCCGAGTACTGAAACCACCCCGAGTACTGAAACTACCCCGAGTACTAAACCCACCCCGAGTACTAAACCCACCCCGAGTACTGAACCCACCCCGAATACTGAACCCACCCCGAGTACTGAAACCACCCCGAGTACTGAATCCACCCCGATTACTAAACCCACCCCGAGTACTGAAACTGCCCCGAGTACTGAACCCACCCCGAGTACTGAACCCACCCCGAGTACTGAACCCACCCCGAGTACTAAACCCACCCCGAGTACTGAACCCATCCCGAGTACTGAAACCACCCCGAGTACTGAAACCACCCCGAGTACTGAACCCACCCAGAGTACTGAACCCACCCCGAGTACTGAAACTACCCCGAGTACTGAACCCACCCCGAATACTGAACCCACCCCGAGTACTGAACCCACCCCGAGTACTGAAACTACCCCGAGTACTGAACCCACCCCGAATACTGAACCCACCCCGAGTACTGAAACCACCCCGAGTACTGAAACTACCCCGAGTACTAAACCCACCCCGAGTACTGAAACTACCCCGAGTACTGAACCCACCCCGAGTACTGAATCCACCCCGAGTACTAAACCCACCCCGAGTACTGAAACTACCCCGAGTACTGAACCCACCCCGAGTACTGAAACCACCCCGAGTACTGAAACCACCCCGAGTACTGAAACTACCCCGAGTACTAAACCCACCCCGAGTACTGAACCCACCCCGAGTACTGAAACCACCCCGAGTACTGAACCCACCCCGAATACTGAACCCACCCCGAGTACTGAAACCACCCCGAGTACTGAATCCACCCCGAGTACTAAACCCACCCCGAGTACTGAAACTGCCCCCGAGTACTGAACCCACCCCGAGTACTGAACCCACCCCGAGTACTGAACCCACCCCGAGTACTGAACCCACCCCGAGTACTGAACCCACCCCGAGTACTGAATACACCCCGAGTACTGAACCCACCCCGAGTACTGAACCCACCCCGAGTACTGAATACACCCCGAGTACTGAACCCACCCCGAGTACTGAAACCACCCCGAGTACTGAAACCACCCCGAGTACTGAACCCACCCCGAGTACTGAACCCACCCCGAGTACTGAACCCACCCCGAGTACTGAACCCACCCCGAGTACTGAATACACCCCGAGTACTGAACCCACCCTGAGTACTGAAACCACCCCGAGTACTGAATCCACCCCGAGGACTGAAACTACCCCGAGTACTGAATCCACCCCGAGTACTGTAACCACCCCGAGGACTGAAACTACCCCGAGTACTGAAACTACCCCGAGTACTGAATCCACCCCGAGTACTGAAACCACCCCGAGTACTGAACCCACCCCGAGTACTGAAACCACCCCCAGTACTGAAACTACCCCAAATACAGAATCCACCCCGAGTACTGAAACCACCCCCAGTACTGAAACTACCCCGAGTACTGAACCCACCCCGAGTACTGAATCCACCCCGAGTACTGAATCCACCCCGAGTACTGAACCCACCCCGAGTACTGAAACCACCCCGAGTACTGGAACCACCCCGAGTACTGAATCCACCCCGAGTACTGAAACCACCCCGAGTACTGAAACCACCCCGAGTACTGAAACCACCCCGAGTACTGAAACTACCCCCAGTACTGAACCCTCCCCGAGTACTGAATCCACCCCGGCTACTGTAACCACCCCGAGTACTGAATCCACCCCGAGTACTGAAACTACCCCGGCTACTGTAACCACCCCGAGTACTGAATCCACCCCGAGTACTGAATCCACCCCGAGTACTGAAACGACCCCGAGTACTGAAACCACCCCCAGTACTGAAACTACCCCTGCTACTGTAACTACCCCAAGTACTGAAACCACCCCGAGTACTGAATCCACCCTGAGTACTGAAACCACCCCGAGTACTAAACCCACCCCGAGTACTGAATCCACCCCGAGTACTGAAACCACCCCGAGTACTGAATCCACCCCGAGTACTAAACCCACCCTGAGTACTGAAACCACCCCGAGTACTAAACCCACCCCGAGTACTGAATCCACCCCGAGTACTGTAACCACCCCGAGTACTGAAACCACCCCGAGTACTGAAACCACCCCTGCTACTGTAACCACCCCGAGTACTGAAACTACCCCGAGTACTGAATCCACCCCGAGTACTGAAACTACCCCGAGTACTGAATCCACCCCGAGTACTGAAACCACCCCGAGTACTGAAACCACCCCTAGTACTGAATCCACTCCGAGTACTGAAACCACCCCGAGTACAAAACCCACCCCGAGTACTGAAACCACCCCTGCTACTGTAACCACCCCGAGTACTGAATCCACTCCGAGTACTGAAACCACCCCGAGTACTGAAACCACCCCGAGTACTGAATCCACCCCGAGTACTGAAACCACCCCGAGTACTGAATCCACTCCTAATACTGAATCCACCCCGCGTACTGAAACCACCCCGAGTACTGAAACTACCCCTGCTACTGTAACCATCCCGAGTACTGAAACTACCCCGAGTACTGAAACTACCCCGAGTACTGAAACCACCCCTAGTACTGAATCCACTCCGAATACTGAATCCACCCCGAGTACTGAAACCACCCCGAGTACTGAACCCACCCCGAGTACTGAATCCACCCCGAGTACTGAAACCACCCCAAGTACTGAATCCACCCCGAGTACTGAATCCACCCCGAGTACTGAAACCACCCCGAGTACTGAATCCACCCCCAGTACTGAATACACCCCGAGTACTGAAACCACCCTGAGTACTGAATCCACCCCGAGTACTGAAACCACCCCGAGTACTGAATCCACTCCTAATACTGAATCCACCCCAAGTACTGAAACCACCCCTGCTACTGTAACCACCCCGAGTACTGAAACTACCCCGAGTACTGAAACTACGCCGAGTACTGAATCCACCCCGAGTACTGAAACTACCCCGAGTACTGAAACCACCCCGAGTACTGAACCCACCCCGAGTACTGAATCCACCCCGAGTACTGAAACCACCCCGAGTACTGAATCCACCCCGAGTACTGAATCCACCCCGAGTACTGAAACCACCCCGAGTACTGAATCCACCCCGAGTACTGAATCCACCCCGAGTACTGAAACCACCCCGAGTACTGAATCCACCCCCAGTACTGAAACCACCCCTGCTACTGTAACCACCCCGAGTACTGAAACTACCCCGAGTACTGAAACTACCCCGAGTACTGAATCCACCCCGAATACTGAAACCACCCCGAGTACTGAAACCACCCCGAGTACTGAAACCACCCCGAGTACTGAATCCACCCCGAGTACTGAAACCACCCCGAGTACTGAATCCACCCCGAGTACTGAATCCACCCCGAGTACTGAAACCACCCCGAGTACTGAATCCACCCCGAGTACTGAATCCACCCCGAGTACTGAATCCACCCCCAGTACTGAAACCACCCCTGCTACTGTAACAACCTCGAGGACTTTAAATACTCCTGAACCCAGCACCACTACTCACAGCCCGACTACAAGGGAATCTACCACCACTTCCGTTTCCACTACTACTGCAGGTAAGCTTTTTGTTCATTTTTTCCTCTTTTGTCTTTGTGTGTGTGTGTGTGTGTTAAAGCATTTTCTAATTTTATATTTTCACTCTACATAGGTTTTTTCGTGATGTGTGTATTTTCTTTGTTATAGGCATCTTTTTATTAGTGTTATTATTTTTATCAATTATCTCCTCTTTAGGTTCTCTCTGTCTTTTTAATCCTACTACTCACTACCTCATCTCATATCTCCCTGTTATATGAACTTTTTTCTTTCACCTCTTTGTTTTCTTTCCTCCCCATTTTTATGGCACAGTCTTCTTTGTTTTTTGTTTTGTTTTGTTTTTTTTTTTTTTTTGGTTTGTTTTTTGTTTTTTGTTATTTGTTTATTTCATTTTTTCCACTTCAGGTATATAATCCTAACATAAACTTATTTTCTTCTGCCTCTTTTCCTGATCCTTTGTTTTGATCAGCAGGCCACCCAACAGTGTTTCATCTTAACCTACACCTACAGACACACACACACACACACACACAGAGAGAGAGAGAGAGAGAGAGAGAGAGAGAGAGAGAGCATTAAGTAAATAAATTAGACAAAGAGAATTTCAGCTATTTCAAGCTGACCTGCACAGAGCATGTGGAGTATAAGTAACTACCAACTATCTAACACTGTCTCTCTATCAAGCTCTATGTCTCTGGCTGGCAGAAACTATAAGCAGTTGTAACAGCCCAACGTTCCAGCCCAGACTCTTCCTGGGTGTTGAAGGGTGTTGAAGCTTGATGCCTCTCTTACCCTTGGGGAACTCTCCACTGGTCCAGCAGCCCAGATTCACCCAGTCTCTGTCTCTGCTTCCAATATAATGTCACTTACTTCACAACTGTTTTCTCCTCTGTGCTTTTGAGATTATGTGGTGGGGCTGGACGCCAGGACAGGGTCAAGTCAAGCTCTCTGGACGCTTGGACAGGATTCTGTCTACTCTGCTTCTGTCTGTGAAGTGAGGGTAACGCTGACTGCCCTGTGAATGTAGGGTCTGGTCAGAATGTCTGACATTGCAAGATCGCTGGGTGTAAACCAGACATGGTGGCACATTCCTGACCTCTCATCCTAGGAGGCAAGAGGGTTGCAAGTCCAAAGCCAACCTAAGCTACATAGTGAGAAACTGTCTCAGAAAATAGGGGAGGAAGGGAAAGAAAGGAATTTTTAAAAGGAGAAAGAAACGAGAATAAAGGAAAAAGAAAAAGAGGAAAGAAAGAGTAAGAGGCAACAGTGTCTGGAACATGTCAAGTTGTAGCTTACTGTCCAAATGTGTGTGCTGCATCTTGCCTTGGTCTCTTGCAGTGACCTGCATGAATGGAGGGTCCTGGAATGGAGAAATCTGTCTTTGCCCCAATGGCTTCACAGGGGATCGCTGTCAGAATAGAGTCCCCACTGTCGCCTGCCAGAATGGAGGCATGTGGGATGGGCTCAAATGTCAGTGCACCAGCCTCTTCCATGGGCCAAGGTGTGAGGAGGTGGTGGATAGCATTGAGATAGGTAAGTGAAAATTCAACAGAACCACAAAGTGCCAGGCTCCCAGCAGGCACCTGTCCTTGTCCTACCTCTATGGCTTATGGTTTTAAAAAATATCTATTTATGTGTGTGAGCATGTGTGTGTGTGTGTATGGGTGTGTTCACACATGCATGTGCCATATGTGTGAGCACCCACAGAGGCCAGAACAAAGTGTTGGATCACCTAAAACTTGAGTTACAGGTGATTGTGAGCTGCCTCACCAGGCTTCTGGGAACTGAACCCCAGTCTCCCACAAATGCAATATACCCTGCTAATCACTGAACTATCTATCACTCCGGTCACCAAATATCACACTTTCACCTAGTGGTAAAAATGCTTTAAAAATATTTTTTACAAAGTAGCTAAATATACATACATACATATGGAGAGACACCTCAGTTGGTAAAGTGCTCAGTCCCAAGCACCCAAGCAAAAAGCTGGGTGTGGCAGTGTGCACCCCTAATCCCAGATGGGGGAAGGCAGGGAACAATGGGTTCTTAGAGCTCATTGGCCACCCAGCCTACCCAAACTGGCTCTCTCCAAGTCCCATGAGACCCTATCTTATAAAATAAGGTGGAAATCGATGAAGAAAGATACTTGATGTTGACCTCTGACCTCCAGGTGCAGGTGCACGTGGTGCTCACATCCTCACAGGACCACATGCACACACCACACCAACAGTACACACACAAGAATAAATAAGTAGGAGCTGGAGAGGTGGCTCAGTGGTTAGAGCACTGGCTGCTCTTGCAAAGGACCCAGGTTCAGTTCCTAGCATCGACATGGTGGTTAACAATCATCTGTAACTCCAGTTCCAGGAGATCCAAGACTCTCTCTCGCCTCCATGTGCACCATGTGTAGGCACGGTGCACAGATATACATGCACACAGCACACCTACATGTGTAAAATAAAATAAACCCCCAAAATGCTTAATAAAAGTAAATAAGAATCGATCAAGAAGGTATGTCTTGAAACAAAATATAAATTCATCACAGCATTTTAACAGAAATGTAGTTAAATGAGTACAAAGGTAGACATAGTGGCTTAGACCTATAAATCCAGCACTCGGGAGGCTGAGACAGGATAGTCAAAAGTTCAAGACCAGCCTGAGCTACATTGTAACATCCTGTCTCAAACATGTTACTGTTTCCTTTTATTTATTCTTCTCTCATAGAATAAATCCCGACCATATCTTCCCCTCCCTTCAATCCTTCCAGTCCCTCCTGACACCTCCCCTTTCCCCCAGATCCATTCCTCCTCTGTTTCCCTGGGAAAAAAAAAAAAAAGAGCAGGCCTCCCAGGGACATCAACCAAACAAAACATAGCAAGTTACAATAAGACTAGGCACACACCCTCATATCAAGGCTAGTAGAGGCAGCCCAGTGGGAGGAAATGGGTCCTAAGAGCATGCAAAAGAGTCAGAATACCCCAATGGTAGGCATCCTACAAAAACTCCAACCTAAATAACCACAATGTATTTGCAGAGGGGTGGTCCCCGGTTTACCACCCTGGAGTTGTAGCTTTTTTACTTTGGGCTGGAAGGATAGCTTGGTTGGTAACATGCTTGCCATAAAAGCGTGAGGGCCTGAGTTAAATCCCTAGAACCTAATGTAGAAAAAAAGAGGGGGCGTGGGGTTGTGCCTCCTTGTGGTACCAGCCCTGGGGGAGGCAGAGCCAAGCAGATCCCTGGGGCTAGCTGACCAGCCAGCCTGCCTACTTGCCCATTTCCATGGCAGTGAGAGACACTATATCAGAAAACAAAGTCAATGGTGTCTGAGTAGCAATAGTGGATGCTGTCCTCTGGCGTCAACACACAGCTACAGGTGCACACCCACCCAGGGTTGGAATTTATTTTATTTTAGGGGTGGGTTTCAAGACAGGGTTTCTCTATGTAACAGTCCTGGCTATCCTGGAACTTGATTTGTAGACCAGGCTGGCCTCAAACTCACTGAGATCCACCTGCCTCTTCCTTCCCAGTGCAGGGATTAAAGGCGTGTGCCATCACCACCCAGCTCAGAATTTATTTTTACTTTATCACGCTTAAAAAGTAATAGCTGTTCAGTGGAATGCCTACTTCAAATTTTGAACACAGGTCTTCTCCTGGGCTTGAGTCATGTGACGCTATCCTCTCTTTAAATGCTGGTGTAGCTCCCACAGGCAGACACATGGGCACAGAAAACCATCAGACTAGATATGGTGGTGCACACTTTTAATCCCAAGACTTGGGAGGCAGAGGCAGGAGAATCTCTATGAGCTCGAGCTTGACCTCCTCTACATAGTGAGTTCCAGGACAGCCAAGGATATATAGACCCTGTCTCCCCCACAAAGTCACCCCCCCAAAAAAAAAAGAAAACAGAAGTAATCATCTGACATTCACAGTGGGTTGTGTTCCTAAACAGGAATGCGTTGAAGATGGATTGAATGCTCTGTGTACATGACTGCATGCAGGAGTATGTGTGTGTATGTGTTGCTGGAGACAAAACCCAAGCTTTGTCGTTGCTAAGCAAACATTCTACCTCTGAGTTCCCTCCCCAGATGAATGCCCAGGTTAAATGCAATTTTCATTTATGAACTGTTTGATATGTAGTGGACTTATCAGGATGTCACTCTACCGTAAGCTTGGGGGCATCCTAGGTCCCATCAAGTTGTCATCCATAAGCCCTAAGGAGACAGTATGCCTCCCTTCCTCCAGGGGACAGAATGCTGGAGGAGGCCTGTGTCACCCCCTGCCTCCAGTGTGGGGCTTCCGGGGGTGAGGATTTCATTGGTAAAGGTCCCTCTCAACCAATGGTGGGTGCTTCTGTCTGTTCCTCTTAGATAACACAGTCTCTGCAACCGTGGAAGTGAGTGTGACAGTAACCAACCACAACTACTCTGAAGAGCTACAGAACAAAACATCCAAAGAATTCAAGGAGTTCAATAAAACATTCACCGAACAGGTAACCCTGCGAGAACCCCCACCCCGCACCTGGAGCGGTTAAGGGGGCAGCTGAGCATGTTGCATGCTTCTCAGCTACTAGGGCAGGTGAGGGATGCAAAGCACGATTGGCCTGGGAGCTGCAAGAGGAAGGGGGCGTTCCGTGTCTCTGTGTCACTGCCAGGTGGGATGAGGACTGGGGAGGACTGAAGTCCCACAGAACGTCCCCCAGGTGGGACTTCTGGGATGACGCCTTGGCCCCTCACCTTTCAGATGGAGCACATTTATGATGGAATCCCTGAGTATGAAGGGGTTGTTATCAATTCGCTGAGGTGAGTACCTGGGTCTGGCAGGAAGGTCTTTTGCATGGGAAAAATGGTCATGATTACAGAGATCATTTGGGGGATGGGGGCTACCTGCATTAATCCACTGTGGGTGGTGCACAGGAACACCAATGGTTGTAGCTTGAACAACAGAAATCTCTGGAGCCCGGAGATCAAGGGATGGTGTCTTTTTCCTGGGTCCTCTGTCTATCCAAATTCTTGTGTGTTTGTCATATATACATATTTGTGTGGTGTGTGTGTGTGTGTGTGTGTGTGTGTGTGTGTGTAGGTACATGTGCACATACGTGAGAATGTATTTGGAAACTGGAGGTCTATACTGGGTGTCATCTTCAATTTCTGTCTCTGCCCTATTTGTAGTGACCAGGTCTCTCACTTAGCCAGGGATTCACCAATTCAACTAGTCTCACTGGCCAAGGAGATCAAGGGATCCAGCAGCCTCTGCTCTACCTGGTGCCAGGGTTACTTGAATACCTGAATTCTGTTTGTGCAACCAAGACATTGTTAACTAGCTGAGATATCTCCCCAGTGTTCCCCGATAGATACGTGTATGTGTATGCATGTGTCTGTCTCTGTCTCTCTCTATCTCCCTCTGTCTCTGTCTTTTCTGATAAAGTCCTGCTCTGTACTCCAGGCTAGCTTGAACTCATTATTATAGCCCAGGTTAGCCATGAGCTCTCAATCCTCTTGCCTGGAATCCCTCCCAAGAATTGTAGAGGAGGCAAGGGATGTCAAAGATGAGTAGCAGGGGTGGCCATAGGAGGATGCTCAAGGGTACTATCCTCTCTCCCCAGGAAAGGCAGTATCGTGGTGGATTATGATGTAATCCTGAAGGCCAAGTACACTGATAAATATGAAAGTGTGTTACAGAACGTCAGCAGTACTGTGAGGGAAAAAATCGAGAATGCAACCAAATATTATATAGTTACTAATAACAGCTGCCCAGGTAAAGTACTTCTGGAGGGAAGTGTCCTCATAGGGTGATTCATTAATCTCCCCACCTCCCTGGTTTTTGACCCTGGGACAGATAGGGTGCAGTGAAGGAAGGTGGTGGAGATTATGGGACACTGGGATCTCTGACCAGAGCTAGGTCTTGTCACTCCTGTTAATACTCCAAGAAAGTTTTGGAAGGGAAGACACAGAGCAGTATAGAGATGGAGAATTCCTCTAAAGTGTCAATATTAAGCGGAGTTGGGACAGATGGGGCATCCCATGACTGACTACATAGTGAATCTTCTAAATACAATGAGTAGTGTGTGGACCCTCTGAGACCCATTAAGGCCCTTTGAGACACATGACCCTCTGAGTGTGGCCCATCAGAGCCTAGCATCTCCTCCTGCAATTTCTGGCTTCCATGCCCACTAGTTAAGTGCTGTGGCCAAACCTGGTAGAAAAAAAAAAAAAACAAGACAAAAGAGGAGGGATGTATTTGGGTTCCTGGTTTTCGGGGATACAGTATCCCCTGGATGGGCAGGCATGGCTCAGGCAGCCCTGTGGCAGCAGAAGCCTGCTCTGTGCCGTTCCTTATGAAGTCCTTAGCTGGCCTATGTGGTGGTATATGTCCTTAAACACAGCCCTTGGAGAGTCAGAGGCAGGCAGTCTCTGAGTTCCAGGCCAACCTGATCATGTATTGCATTCCAGGACAGCCAGAGCTATCCACACAGTGAGACATTGTCTTAAAAAAGAAAAAATATTCCTCAAACTAGAAGGCTCAGGTTAAAGTGAAGTAGCCTACCTAGCCTTCCAGCCTGGCTCCTACATTGACCAGGGAAGCCCCGACTATAAAGATCCCACAGTCTCCACAAACAGGGTCATCATCTGGAAACCAAGGGTTCAAACACATAAGCCTGCTGAGAACACATCACACAGCACTGTCTCAGCCCTTCCCCTCTCCCACACACCCGGAAGCTGCTAAAGGAAGCTGCTAAAGGAGCCTCCATGATCTCCATGATGACAGTGTCAATGTGTTTCCTTTACAGAGTCACTGTGTTTCAACTCTTCTGCCACCAATGTGCAAAATGTTTCCAACTTTGTCACTCCTGAAGGTAAGTAATATGACCGGTTCTGGGAAAGGCCAGAAAGGTGGGGGGAGGGAGGGGAGCAGTGCATGGCAAAGCCAGACCTCCTGGATTCTTAACTCTTCCATGTTCCCCTCAGAGCAATGCCAGAAACAGGCTGGAGAGGAGTATGCAAAGTATGTCTTCTTGGAGTCCAAGGACAATAAGCTGCAGTGTGTCACAGCCTGCTCAACGGGCTACAAAACTCCTTGGACTGCCACTATGGCAAATGCCAACTGCAGCCGAAGTGGCCCTCAGTGCATGTGAGTATGGCGCTCTGCCTGTGGGGTGGCTCCTCTCCTGGAGGCCAAGGTCATGAGATTATCATATACATTACACTGCACCTCTTAAAAGTATACAGTTGTCAAAGAATCAGGTTGCAGGGTTAAAGGGATGGGACACGCATGACGTCCAGAGGGCACTAAAGTGGGTCAGGAAATGTCCAAACTGGTAGGAAAACCTCCAAGACAGAATGAGCGATGGCGGCTCCAGCTTCAGGAGGCTCCCAGTATAGCAGAGAACACAGGGCCTCCTTCTCAGAGAAAGAACATGTGCCCCACAGCCTGAGAGGTGTCTCAGTGGATAAAGGCACTTGCCCCTAAACCTGATGACCTGAGTTCAATCCCTGGGATCCACATGGTAGAAGGTGAGAACCAACATTTGCAAGTTGTTCTCTGACCTCCACAGTACACACACACAAACACACACACACACAGTAAGTAAATGTAATTTTATAATTTTTAAATGTCCTCTGCAATTGAATAGGTAAAGAAAGCTCTACGTGTCTCCATGGGGACAGGGACCCTGAATAGTCTAGTCATAGACATAGAAAAATGAAGAAAGGCATTGCAAACTGAACACTGAGTGTGGTGATGCATGTCTGTGATACCAGCATGTGGGAGGCCAAAGGCTCCAGGAAGATCATGAATTCAGTCGGTCTGAGCTGCCCTTAGAGGCTCTGTCTCAATCATCAAGCAAACAAACAAATAAACAAAAGCAGCTGGTTAAAAGCACCAGCTGCTCTCCCAGAGGTCCTGAGTTCAATTCCCAGCAATCTCATGGTGGCATACAACCATATATAATGAGATCTGGTGCCCTCTTCTGGCCCAAAGGCATACATGCAGGCAGAACACTGTACACATAATAGATAAATAGACCTTTAAAAAAAAGAAAAAGAAATCAAGGGCTAGAAAGATGGTTCAGTTAGTAACGTGTTTGCCATGCAAGCATAAGGACCTGAGTTCGGATCCCAGAACCCATGTAAAAGTCAGGCATGGGCTAGAAACTTGTCTTGGAAGTTCTGGGCACTTGCTATTCTTGAAGAGGACTCAGCGCCCACCTGGTGGTGTACCATCTGTAACTCCAGTTCCAAGGAATAGCATGCCCTTTTCTGGTTGCTATGGGTACTACATGAATGTGGTACACAAGCTACAAACCAGATTATTAATTACTTTTTGCTGCTGTGATAAAACTTGCAGAAGAGGGTTTGTTTTGCTTTATGGTTCTGGGGGTGGGCTCATAAGGTTGAGGAAGGCATGGTTGCAGGTGGCCGGAGCAGAAGGAAGCTGAGGGAGCAATCTGGAAATGGGAACAGGCCATAAGCTCTCCACATCCTACAGGTCCCAAAACCTCCCTAACACAGCACCACCAACGGGGGCCAAATATTCAATACTATGGGGGACAATTTTCACTCAAACCACTACAACCACATGGAGAGCGTGTCCCAAAAAAAAAAAAATGTGGACAGTGCCTGCGGTTTGTCTCCACACACAAAACATCAGGGATAACGGAAGGAGCAATCCATAGGCAGAGGCCTGACTGCTTATTCTGGGATGGCTTTTTGGAGAAGTTCCCAAGCTGATTCAAGGTGCATTTGTAGACGTGGTGGGTATAGAGAGGGCAGTTTGGGTGAGGAGCACTCAGGACAGGGAGCACAGGTTCTGGATCAGAAATGGGGATGGGGGTGTTTGCACATAGGGCTGAAAATGAAAACACTGGGTGGGCAGGCAGATGGGCCAGCTTGGAGTGCAGACCAAGGAATCTCGGGGTTTGAACAACTGCCTTGGGCCCTGGACTGCTGCTGGGGGCAAAGGGCCTAGACCTGGACTCGTGCTAGGACCAGCTTAGAGGCTGCACTTGGGTCTGCTGTCCGTTCATCTCCTCAGAGCTCTACTCACCTCTCAATACTTTCCCATGAGGCCAGAGCATGACTGACTCCTTTCTCCTCTGCCCATCTCCCGTCAGCTGCCTGACCACAGACACTCACTGGTACAGTGGGGAAACCTGCGATCGGGGCATCCAGAAAAGCCTGGTGTATGGGCTCGTGGGAGCTGGGGTGGCAGTGTTGTTGGTGATCCTTGTTGTCCTCAGTGTGTTCTCCATGCGCTTCAGAAGAGAGGCAAAAAGGTAAGTGGCTGGTGCCCCCTTCCTTCACCATCCTAATCCTTCCCGCTCTACCTTCTCTCTCCGTCCTGCAATCTCGGTTCTCGCGGTGGACTGTGAGTTGCCGGAAGCAGAGATGTAGCTCGTCCTGGGTCTTTGTCGCTACTCTGTGGTCATAACTGGGTCCCATGGTGTCTCCTACCAACAGGCAAACGTTCAAAGTGTCTCAGATGCAGAAGTGGAATGAAGAGGAAGGCAAAACTCCTGGAGCCGTCCACAATGTCGGGTTTGACCACAACGAAGGTATTGGCAATCTCTGTGGAGCTCAGACTTGGAATGATGGGTATAGGGGTGGGGATACAGGAGACCCGGGCAAGGTACTGGGATGGTCTCCCCTCTCAGAGCACCCCATTTCAGGTTCAAAAGCTTCCCTGGAACCTGAGTGGGATATAACATGGGTACTGTACCCTAGAGGAGGCATGGAGCAAACGGATGGTGTACGTTCCTCTGGAACATAAAACTCTGCCTATAGGGACCTAGATGAGGGCTCAGGGGTGAGTATGCTCACCAACAAGTGACTTACATCTCAGGACAGAGGCTAACATTGCAGTTTGTTAGATGCAAGCACTATAATTTCTAGGAATGGGCTGGGGGTGTGAGTTAGTGGGTGGAGGGAGCGCTTGCTTAGCGTGTATGGTCTCCGGTACCACATAAATCAGACATGGGTTCACATGTGTAATCCCAGTATACAGAAGAGTCATCCTTGACTACATAGTGAATTTGAGGCCAGCGAAGACACATAGGATGGCTGTCTCCAAATGCAAACTATGGCCAGCCTGGTCGTGGCTACCTTTAATTCTAGCACCAGGGAAGGTTGAAGGAGGGGGATCTGTGAAGTTCAAACCCGGTCTTGCCTATGTAATTTTTGAGACATAGTCTCTCTGTGTAGCCCAAATGACTTCAAACTTGTCATCCTCCTGCCTCTGCCTCTCAAGTGCTGTTATTACAGGCATGCTCCCCCCCCCCCACACACACACACCTGAGCTCACACTAGGGAGCTGTTGTGGAGCAAATTATTCAAGCAGTTTACCAAACTCGCATTGTTTTTTTTTGTTTCGTGGGCATGGGATGAACACCCCCCCCCCATCAGTGGAGCTCGAGGGACTGATGAACATTTTCTAACCACCTGTTTCGTTGGGCTTCCTCCTCCCTTAGAAGGAGAAAATTATGTTCATTTGGACTCCATGTACAGCAACTTCGAGGGCCTCCCTACGCCATATAAACCCTGAAGAAAAAGGTAAGAATGAGCCAGAAGAACCACCCACCTCCTGTGCCCTGAGTCCTCTATCATCCTTCCTACCTGGTAGGACCCTCAGGCAAGCAAAGCCATAGTGTCTATGGCCAGGGATCCAGGCAGTGGTCTCCAGAACACACAACAGTAAGGCAGGAACTAGGGGACAGGAAGCCCACACTTTCCCAGGCTTCAGACTCCGTTTCTTTCTGTGCCTTAGATGCATCCTTGGTGTCCTAGTTACTGAAGAGTTAATTTTGTGGGGGAGGGTCTGGAGAGTGGTGCAGTGAGAAACAGTACTTGCTGCTCCTACAGGGACCGTATGTAGTTCCCAAAACATCATGGCTCACAACCATCCACTACTCTAGTCCCAGGGGATCTGACACCCTCATTGAGCCCCCACAGGCACCAGGCATGTGCGTGGTGCATTTACATCCATGTAGGCAAACACCCATACATGTGAAATATAAAATGAATACGTCTCTTTTTAAAAACAAATTTAAGAACTTTTGAGACAGGGTCTTACTGGCAGCATCAAACTTGTGCTCCTGCAGCCCCAACCTCTTGAGTGCTGGGAGATGGGTGTGTGTCACCTGAGTGCTGGGAGATGGGTGTGTGTCACCTGAGTGCTGGGAGATGGGTGTGTGTCACCTGAGTGCTGGGAGATGGGTGTGTGTCACCAAGTCATTAGACTCTTTGAAGTCAGTTGGTTGTTGGGCATGTGGCTCAGTTGGTAGAGTGGCTGCTTATCAGTGTACAAATCCCTGGGTTCCAATCCACCTTTTCATAAGCTGGGGGTGCACACCTGTCTTTCCAGCACTGGGGAGGTAGAAGCAAAAGGATCAAAAATTCGTGGTCCTCCTTGGTTTGAGTTTAGGGCTAGTCTGGGCTACTTGAGACTGTCCCCAAACATTTCTTTTCAAATATGCAGAATATTTGAGGATAGGAAAAACCTTGTGGGGTGGAAAGAGATCAACCATTGGACAAATTATTACTAAATCCAACTGGCTGGGAAGGGAGGATGCAACTTGTTTGTACCAGACTTCAAGAAATGGATAAATTCCAGTGTTGGCGAAATGGATCAGTGGGTAAAGATGCTTACCGTCAAGCCTGATGACCTGATTTCAATCCCCAGGACCCACACAGTAGAAGGAGGAAAGTGATTTCCACTTATTGTTCTTGGATCTCCGTATGCATGCCCTGGCACACATGCATGTCCCCCCCCAAAAATAAATTGTAGGCCCAACACGGTGACCCACATCTTTAATCCCAGCACTTGGGAGGCAGAGGCAGGTGGATCGCTGTGAATTTGAAGCCAGCCTGGTCTACAGAGTGAGTTCTAGGGCTACACAGTGAAACCCTGACTCCAAAAAAAAAAAAGAAAGAAAGAAAGAATATGTGATAATTTTTTTAGATACAAGCTTCACCTGTGCTTCTATAGACCTGTCCTTTTTTTTTTTTTTTTTTAACTTTCTTTTCTCTGAGTCTTTCACATCTTGCATCTCGATCCCATTCATTTCCTGTCCCCACCCTTGCGACACCCCCCCCATAAAATTTAAGAGAAAAGAAAAAGGGGGAGGGGAATCTCATCATGGAAGCTGTTGTGAATCACGAAGTAAACCTTTTTAATCCACACAATCTTTACTGGCAAATGTTAGTTGCAAAGAGTCATTGGTCTGGTTCAAAGCCTCTGGTTTCTGCTACACAGTCATGCTGGGCCCTCACTAGGACTCCTCTTGGTTAGCCTGCTGTTGCTCTGTGTTGTGGAGATCCTGCAGCTTTGGGTATTCAGGACCAGGTCCCCTCACATGCTCCAGCAGACCACAGATGGGATGGACAATGGGGTGGGCCAACCGATAACCCTAGTTCTAGGCCAGGGAAGTTGCAGGGTTATAAATCTGAGTCTTAAGTGCTTCCAACACTAGATTTCTCCTGGGCTCAACCCTCACTCGCTTCTGTTTCTCTTTTCAGATCCAGATTCAGAGGCCAGAGATAGTCATGACATCACTGTAACACTAACACAACAGCGTCTGGCATGGGTCCTTGGAGCTGAGGACTGAGAACCCCTGCTGTGTTGAGTGTGGGGGAACACACCCTCCATTGAGAACTCCCCATTGGGGACTTACTGAGAAATAGATCCTGTAGTTAGCAAGGATGAATAACAGAGAGACAGCAGTGCTGGGAACTCAAAGTATGGAAACTGCAGTGGGCATGTCATGATGGCAGGAGACAGCTCCCGGAACCCCATGTCCAGAGATGTTCTTCTAGCCCCAAGTCTGATTCAGCACCAAGGACAGTGCCCTGTACCCATTGCTGATGATTGCTTTGACACTGGATTTGCATTTTATCATCTGCAAAACACTCTTCTAAGAAAGATTACATCCCATTTCCACAGAAAATACTGTCTTTAATAGACTATCTGTCTTCACAAGGTCATGATTAATCTTGAATTTCTTTCTGAGACTGGGTATAATTAAAGCTTTTATTTTGGTGCATTCTAATTTTTCCTATGTAAATACAATTACATACTTTTTTAAGATTTATTTTGTTTTTAATTACGTGTACGTGTGTATCTGTGTGTATGTGAACATGAGTACAATTGCCAGTGATGGCCAGAAGTGGGCATCAGATCCTCTGGGAGTAACAGGCTATTATGAGTATTTGATTCTGAGAAGTGAACTCAAGTTCCCCTGTAAGAGCAGTCACATTCTTAACCAGCTCTCTATCTTTCATGTGTGCTTATAATAACTAAAAGCAACAAAAGCAAATTTGTTGCAAGTTCTACAGATTCTAGAACTTTCTCTCCTTGCCACATTATCCTGGCTCCTGGGCCACATCTACTAGGCTGTCTGTCATCCCCTTCCCTCCAGGATGTAATTCATTCCTCAATACCAGGAGAGGGAATATCTTCACCCAAGAAAGGTAAAACCCACACCTTTCCCCAGCATCATTTGCTGATCTCTGGGGATGTCATGAGGCAAGATCACAACTGTTCACACACAGGAGGCAGAAAGAGAAAGCTCTTTTAGGGGCTGGACAGATGGCTCAGTGAATAACAACAGCTTTTGGGCAAGCATGAAGACCTGAGTTCAAATCCCCAGAAGCCAGGTTAAGAGTCAGAAAATTGGTGAAATAGTTTAATGGCTTGCGGGGTCTCTGTCAAGCCAAACCTGAGAGAAGGAGAGAATCAACTCCAGCGAGCTATCCTCTGACCTTCACATGTGTGCGCACACGGGAGTATACGTATACATACACAAAATAAGTAATTAAAATGTACTAAGTGTTTTCAGAAGCTGTGATTGCCAGGTGTGGTGGTTCACAACTTCAATCCTAGCTCTCGGGAAACAGAGGCAAGTAGATCTTTGCGAGTTCAAGGCCAGCATGGTCCAGACCAGTCAAAGCCATGTGATGTAACCCTGTCTCAAAAAAATAAAAATAAAAAACCCTAGAAGCTGTGCATGGATGGTTCCTCACACGGGTGGGTCTATAACCCCAGCTGCCAGCCTCGCTGCAGATTCAGGGTCCTATCTGAAAGAAATTAAACAGAGTGAAAGTACAGGAACCCTGACTTTCTCCTCCAGTCTCCATGTGTGACTCACATACACACACACACACATGCACACACAGATACACACACATACATACACACATATACACACACATACACACACAAACACACACATATATGTACACACATATGTACATACACACGCACACACACACACATGCACACACGTAGAGGCACACAGGCACAAGCACACACACACAGGCACACACACACAGGGATACATATGCACATATATTCACACAGGCACACAAGCACACTCATCCTACATACACACAATAATAACACATTTTAAAAAAAAAAAGAACATAGTCCCCTGCTTCCCCCTAGGACAAAGTTCATGTTTCTTTGCAGAGTCCCTAAGCGATGGGCGCTCTAAACTTTATTTGCAGCTCCAGCTCTCCCATCAACTCTGGGGGAAATCATGTGACCATTTGGACCTAGTCCAACCTTCTGCCAAATGAGAATGAGATCATGCCTCAAGTCCACTTTGCTACCACAAGTCTGAACATTTTGGAGATGTCTTATTTCACATGTGTTTGTATGTGTGCAGCGAGCACACAGTGAACTCTACTGCATTAGTGAGGAGGTCAGAGGGCAACTTGTGGGAGTTGATCCTCTCCTTCCATCGTGTGGGTCTGGCACTGAACTCAGTTGTCAAGCTTGGCAGCAAGCACCTTTATCTGCGGAGACATCTTTGCTGGCCTGTTGGGTATACGTTTTAAATTTTATTCTTTTCATCTTTGCATGTGTGCGCATGTGTGCCTGTGTGTGCGTGTGTGAGAGTTCGGTCACATGTGTGCCACAGAACATGAGGATAACCTCTGGTGTCCTCTGACTTTCTTTCCACCTGGCTTGAGACAAGATGTCCATCTTGTTCTCTGCTGCCTATGCCAGACCAGCTGAGCCCACAGTGTCCAGGCATTCTTCAACCGCTGACTCCTATCTCACCGAAGGAACACACGGTGCACGCTGCTGACCCCCTCTACATGTGATTCTGTGGGTCCTGCTCAAGTCTTCACGCGTGTGCAGCAAGCACTTTCCCATGGAGTCCTCCCTCCAGCCCTTGGGGATGGTTTCCCTTTTATTTTTACTTTATTTATTCTTAATTGTATGTGCATTGTTGCTTTGCTGGCATATGTCTGTGTGAGGGTGCCGGGTCCCCTGGAACTGGAGTTACAGACAGTTGTGAGCTGCCATATGGTTGGTGGGAATTGAATCCAGGTCCTCTGGAAGAACAGCCAGTGCTCTTAACCACTAAACCATCTCTCCAGCCCCTTACTTGTTTGTGTGCTTGCTTGCTTGTTTGTTTTTTAGACAAAGTCTCACTATGATGGGCCTGGAACTCGCTATGTCGAACAGGCTGGCCCTAACTTACAGAAATCCACCTGCCATCTAAGTGCTGGGATTAAAGGCGTGGCCCAGCAAGAAAG